TTCAAAACACCTGCAAAAAAGGGGGTGACTTCTCTGAGAGGCTCAACTATAAATAACATTTCATGACATCTAGGCACTTGAAGACAAAATTCCCTGGAATTACATATATCAAGGACCCACTCCATACCTGCATTTAGTCACATGACATCCCCAGGAGATACACACTGTTGGCCACATGTTACAGAGAAGGAAACGGGCTTGAGCAGCTCGGCCGAGCTCCAGCAGCTGGAAGTGGACCACGGGGACTAAACACCTGGATCTGACTCCTGGACCGAGGCCTCCAAACTTCTCAAACCCGCAACTGGCACCTGAGTAAATACGCAGCCTGATTCCCCCAAGAAAACTCTACAGCTAAATCTTAGCTCCATCTCTGTGCTCTTACCCCAAAGTATCAGCTGAGAAAGGTCCTACAGAGGAAGGACCAATCGCGGCCTCTGACACTGGAAGACAACTTCTGAAGTTAGTGGGGAAGTCCTGCAGAACCCAGAATTCCCCGGGAAGGCCCCTGGAGAAGGTGGGTTCTGGAGAGGGGTGCCCCCTCCCTCGAAGAGCCCAGTGCTGAGTAGGTGACTGTGTGTTCAGTCGCAGTCCAGGTAAAATCAGTGGTTGGGACAAAGGGAACGCACAGTCATGTAACCCTTGGACACCTACCCAGGGCAGCCCTACAGGAACTGGGGCACACAGGATGTGGGGCCAGCTCTCACCACCACCCCTTCCAGAATATACACTCACTTAAGCGGAAGAGCAAGATTCAATGATTGTGTCTTTTCTTTTTTTTTAAATTAATTTATGTATTTATTTTTGGCTATGCTGGGTCTTCATTGCTGCGTGGGCTTTTCTTTAGCTGTGGTGAGTGGAGGCTACTCTCTAGTTGTAATGTGCCAGCCTTTCATTTGTAGAGGCTTCTCTTGTTGCAGAGCGCGTGCTCTAGGGCATGCGGGCTTCAGTAGTTGCGGTTCACAGACTCTAGAGCACAAGCTCAATAACTGGCATGCAGGCTTAGCTGCTCCACAGCCTGTGGGATCTTCCAAGATCAGGAATCTGGAGTTTGACCTTAGACATGTTTTATAAGTGAACAGGACATTCTGACCTCAAAAAAAAAAAAAAAAGGAATCAAACCTGTGTCTCCTGGCAGGTGGATTCTTTACCACTGAGACATCGGGGAATCCCTCAGTGGTTGTTTCTTTCTTCTAAGAGCTTCCAGTTCAGTCAACATAAGTCAAATGCAAGAGAGATTCCATGATACCATATTTCCACAACAGCATGATGTACCATAAGCTGCTGAAAGATTTATATTATAAATGCTGAAAACATTCACACTACAGAGAACCAGACAAGCCTGTCAGTTCTGAAGTTAAGACTACAGGGATTCTAATTTGACCTTTGCCACTTGGCAGCCTCGAGAGTCCAGAAAGGGCTACTTTGTGCTTTGGTTTCCCCACCTATGGGCTTCCCAGGAGGGGCTAGTGGTAAAGAATCCGCCTGCCAATGCAGGAAATGTAAGAGTCTAGGGTTCGATCCCTGGGTCAGGAAGATCCCCTGGAGGAAGGCACGGGAACCCACTCCAGTATGCTTGCCTGGAGAATCCCCATGGACAGAGGAGCCTGGCAGCTACAGTCCATGGGGTCGCAAAGAGTTGGACACGACTGAAGCAACTGAGCGTTTTCATAGCACTGCCCCAACTCTTAAACAGGATGGTAATGGTGTCAGCTCCACGGCGCTTTTTAGGGGATTTGATGATACACAGAGCCAGCACAGTGCTCCACAAAGGCTGACATCCCCTCCCCTCTACCAGAAACAGACAAGAAGGCAGAGGGTCTCGCGGAGAGGTTAGCAACTTGTCAGAGGTCCCACAGCGAGACAGTCCAGAAGCCACACTGTATTCAGCACTGGGGGTCTCAGGGAGCAAGGCGTAAGTGAGAGGGTCCCTGCTGGAACAGAGTGACCCCAGGGCCGCTGGGTTAATGGGCCTGGGAGGCAGAACTTGAAGTCTGGGGAACTGGGCTACTGAGCAAACAGGAGCATGATGAGGAGGAGGGAGAAACACTTTCAGAGAATATAAAACTACCTGGTGAGGAACCATTCCAGAACCACCCAGCAGGCAAGACCACACAGACACAGAGACCTCAGGAGCCAGTAAACTGGCCACCTCGACCACAGTCACAAAGAAAGTGATCTTTCCAGTGACGGTCACCCTAAATGAGGCTCTGAGCGTGCCACCCCCACCCCCTCCACCAGCCCCAACCTGCTGACAGTCCACCTGGCCCCTCCGCTGATCCCCAGGTCGGAGGCTGAGACCTGGATCTGCTCTGGAAAATCCGCTCCAGGATTCCAAATCCCTGCCCTTCTCTCCGAGAGGCACACGCCCGCAAAGCACAAGAAATGACAAGGAGGTGTGAGCAAGCTGCGCTGGGCCCGCCGAGTCACGTGTCCGGAGCCCGCCTGGCTCTGCCAGCTGCTGAGCCCTCACCCACTTCTCAGGCAGAGAAGTAACCAGGAGGTGCTCGCAACAGCACAGTGGGACCTTTACAGCTCAGGAGGCTGCATAGGTCAAGAGCAGGACCGCACCTTCCACAAACTCACCCGAAGCCTGCAGGTGGCCGGGAAACAGGAGGGGAGGAGGGCCCTGCTGCCCGGTATAAGGCTTCCTCTGTGTCCAGAAAGGCGTGGACAATGCGAAGGGGCAGATGCTTCCGGACGCAAAGCCTGGCACCCGAGCCCTGTGCTCTGCTGCGGGTGAGAGCAGCTGTTCCCCATCACCCCCTCCCAAGGGGCTGGCAGGGAGAATGAGGCCACAAAGCAAAGGAAACTGGAGGCAAGGGCCCCCAAGTCATTGAGGCATCGGCTGTGACAAAGACACTTGCTCTTATGCAATCTGGGGTAGCAGCAGAGCGACACTCAAGTGCAAAACACCCAGGTGTTTTCCCTCCTGCGGACTGCAGGAAGGGAGCAGCTGCTGCCACTACCCAGAAACCACACCTGGTGACCTGGCACCAAGAAAGCCAACCTCACCCAACACCACAGGACATGCCAGGGCCTGTGGCTGAGACCGAGGGCCTTGTGTTTCCCTAACAGAGCCACAGGGTGTCACAGCCAGGAGGACACGGCGCTCGGGGCCCAGAGGTATCCTGAGGTGGCAGGACACAGAATCGTCCACACACAGGCTCACACTCGGCCCCAGTTCGGGTCTCCCGAATCAGGATCGCGAGGCTGGGCCTGGGAATATGCACTGTGACGACACACCACCAACACCAACACCCAGGGTGACTCTGAGGCAGCCAGCCCCACACCAGGCTGCTCTGGAAACTGGATCGGTCCAGCCTGCTGGGTCTGTCTGTGAGAAAATGAGACCAGACAGTGGTTCACTCCTTCCAAGAGCATCTACCCAGGGCCGCCCAGGGGACTGGCTCTGAGGAGACTCGGTTCCTGCCCTACAGGGAGCAGCTGGGCCCACCTGGGGAGCTTCTCTGAAACGCAGGTGTCCAAGCTCCATCCACTGCCTGTGATTCAGGTTCAAGGGACTCAATCCAGCAAGAAAATGAAAGCAAGGCCAGACAAGAACATGGATCTGGAAACTGATGGTTAGGCAGGCAACGGAGAAGCCAAGTCTGGGGAGACTGAGGGTACGGCATGAAGGACGGCTTTGCACAGCACCAGCTGAGGGCCATGCCTCTGACTCCTGCTGACACCACTCACATTCAACACAACCCTATAGCGGAGCTGGTGGCCTAGTCCCCTCCTCACAGATGAGAACAGTGAGGCTCATGGTGCCGTGAAATGCCCTGGCCCAAAGTCCTGTGGCCAACAAGAGCCGAGGCTGGGGTTCGAATCCTGGCAGCATGTGCTCTTTTCACTGTCATCCCCTCCTCAAGTCCCACCTCTATGCACCACACTGAGAGGTGTCCTTGACCTTTCTCTCTCCCGTCTTACTCTTCATTAATAATCAACGACAAGGCCTGACCCCCTTCTCTCCAAATCAACTGCTGACACCACTTTAACCTTCCATTATAGCCTGTGGGTTTCCCCAGTGGCGCTAGTGGTAAACAATCTGCCAGTCGATGCAGGAGATGCAAAAGACACGGGTTCCATCCCTGGGTCAAGAAGATCCCCTCAAGAAGGAAATGGCAACCCACTGCAGTATTCTTGCCTGGAAAATCCCTTGGACAGAGGAGCATGCTGGGCTACAGTCCATGGGGTCGCAAAGAGCTGGACACGACTGAACAACTGAGCACATGCATAAAATATGAGCCCCGTCAGCCAGGTCACTCCCTGGCTTAATCCTCTGCAAGGGCTTTCCACAGGCCAGAAGACACAAATATTCCTTCCAAGTTTGCCTCCGGGACTTCCCACAGAGCTTCCCCTCCACTCCTCCAGGCTAACTTCTCTCAGCTCAGACCCTCAGCTCTCCCCAGAAGACAAGGCCACAGAGCTCTGTCCAGCCCAGGGTTAAGCCCAGGGTGTATGGGGGGCGTGGGCTATGGTGGTTGACTGACCAAGGGACTCTGCAGCTGGTCAGAGGCTCAAGGACGGTAGTGTGGCAGCAGAAGGGCCAGAAAGTCAGAGACTGGGCAGACAGGCCAGGGCTAGACTAGGAAGGGAAGCTTGTGAATGTGACAGAGAGGAGCTAGGATGTAAGCCTGGGGCCATGGGTGGCTGAGGAGGCTCACGGAAGCAGGGGAGTAGTAGGACCAAATTCACATTCACATGCTACTGGTGGAATGAATGGCCATTTTCTCTTATCTCCTTGAAAGGCAATCTGCCAAGAGCTAACAAAAGTTTAAAACCTGCCTACTCACTGACCCAGCAATTCCAAGTCTATCAAGGATACTCACTGCAGGATCTCTTCATATTAGCGAAAAAGAGAAACTGGCCTAACTGGCCACCGAGAGAATAAACCACAGCCACAGCTCTTCCAAACTCTTGGAGCTGGATGCATTTCAGAACTCATAACATTTGTATTTTAGAAAGGCAATAGGAAGTATGTACAGTATGGTCCATACAGCCGCAGCAGGGTCAAGTGCAGCATCCACAGTCAAGTTCGTAAATATTTCTGCAGCTTAACATGTGACTTTCTACCACACACTCTGAAGAGGCTCCTATTAACTCAGCTCAGATCTGGGCATCCATTGAGTTTGCATCAAACTTTTAAAAAAAACATGTAGTAGTGTCTTGATTCTATAACTGTGGATAAGGGATGGAGGACCTGTGGTCAGGGGATGGAATAATAAAAAATAGAAAGCAATCGAACATACCCTGAGCCCTGACATGTCAAGTAAGCGCCAGTGTGGACACACTGGGCCCACGATGGCCCTGAGCCCCGTTACCACTCACTGTCGCCGCCGCCACCACCAACGTCCAGGAGCACTGACTGCACACCAGGTCTTGGTGCTTTACATTAATTACCCACTAAATCCACACACGACCCAGCGGTGGTCTCTAATGTATCCTCTATCATCCAACAAAGAGACTGAAGCACAAACGAACACAGCGACTCACAAAGGCCACCAGCCAAGGCACCACAGTGGTACACAAGCTGCATCCCTGTCCTGGGAACTCCAGCTCCAGAGCCTAGGATACTCTTAACCCCTGCACTTTTCTCATCTCCTCTGGGTAAAGGGGATTAAAACCTAGACAGAACACGGCAGACCACACAAATATAAACAGATAAAAGTCAGACCATGCTAGCATTCAGATCCACAGCCAGAGTGGTTATTCTCTCTCAAGAAGCCAGGCCTATCAGAGAGACACCAGCAAGGGCACCCAAGCATGGAGCCAGGGATCCTCTGGAGCACTAGCCCCGGCCCAGGGACCCTCAGGCCATTCAGCTTGGAGATCTGCCCCCAGCAGACCCACAAAGCTGCCCTGGGCAATCTACACAACACACTTTGTTACAGAGGATCAGCCCAAGGTGTGGGTGCCAAGTGACGGGCCCAGGCAGACAGAAGCAGGTTCCACCTCCTCACTGGATCCCCTCCAACCTACCCAGGAACACCAACCCCCACCATCACCATTTAACCATCAGTTTCAGGTAAAGCTAGCTGACAGGCAGGTTCCCCCTTCCAGGATGGTATGCTGAGGGACTTGGAGGACAGCAGCAGATAGATGCATCTCTCCTTTCAACAGCACCACAGTTAGGAACAGCCGGCCACCCTCCCTCCCAAGTGCTGACCCTTTCTGCAAAGGGAGCCTTGTGCCGGGGACTGGAGGTGATGGTGGCTGTTGCTCACGTGCTGTGAGGGTGAGGCAGGTGAGGACGAGGAGGAACACACCAGAGGACCATGGCAGGGGAAACTCCAGCCTCTCACGGGCTCCAGCTTCACCTCCCCTCCAGCCTGCCCTGGCCTCGACCAGTTTCAGCTCCCCAACCTTCCTTTACCAACTCTAGAGAAACACTACTGTGTATTTTGCATACATAACAAAATAGTTTTCAACATATATAAACTACACAAATCTAATGTGTACAAATCGTTGTTTTTAGATATTTATACTCCAATATAACCACCAACTAAATCAAATTATAAAACATTTACAGCCCTCATTTCTTCATGCCCCCCCTCCATCTAGTTAAGTGTACTACCGAAAGGCTCTTTTTCATTGTTGAGTATACTCCATTGTGCGGATATACCACAACTTGCTCATTCACCTGGCTAGCTGATGAGCACTTGGGTTGTCTCCATCTTTCGGTAATTATGAGTATAGCTGCCATGATCCTCCCTGTGCAAGTCCTCAGGAATTCTTAGGCACTCATTTCTGTTGGGTATACCTGGGAGTGGAATTGCTACCACATAAGTAGGAATACGTTTAGTTTGGGTAGACACTGCCAAAACTATTTTCCAAAGTGGTTGTACCAATGCATATGCCCATTAGCAGTATATGAGAGTTCCAGTTGCTCCATGTCTTTACCAACACTTTTGTGGCAGTCTTTTTTATTGTAGCCATTCTGGGTGGAGATACAGTGGTATCTTACTGCGGTTAAAATCTTCTGATGACTACTGAGGTTAAGTACCCTTCTGTACACGTTTACTTGTCTTTTGGAATCCTCTTTGGTGACATGCTTGCTCAAGTCTTTTGCCTTTTTTAAATTGGGTTGTTTCTTACAGGTCTGTAGCAGTTTTATATACCTTCTGGATATGAACACTTTGTTGGACATATGTATTTCAAATATTATCTCCCAGACGATAGCTTGCTTTTTCACTCTTTTTAAAATATAATTTATTTATTGGCTGTGCTGGGTCTCCACTGCTGTGCACAGGCTTCTCACTGCAGTGGCTTCTGTTGCTGGGGAGCACATAGGCTCAGCAGTCGCGGCTCCCAGGCTCTAGAGCACAGGCTCGGTAGTTGCATTGCACACACCAGCTTAGCTGTCCTGCAGCATGTGGGATCTCCCTGGAGCAGGGACCGAGCCCACTATGTCCCCTGCATTGGCAGGTGGATTTTTAACCACTGGACCACCAGAGAAGTCCTGATAAAGAGTTTTTAATTTTATTTTTCTAATTTATTTTAACTTTTTTAACTGAATGATTAATTCTATATTACAATTTTCAAAAGTTTCACACACATGATTTCACATAATTCCATAATAACCTTTTTTTGTTTTTAACTCCTTACCCCTTTCTTACTGAATATTCTTATCTGGAGAATCCCACGGACAGAGAAGCCTGGTGGGCTACAGTCCGTCCATGGGGTCACAAATAATCAGACACGGCTGAAGCGACTTTCACTTACTTTCACCCCATCTTGCCCCTCCCCTTTCCCTCTTCCCAGTGGTAACCACTAGTTTGTTCTTTATATCTGTGAGTTTGCCTTTTTGTTTTGTTCACCAGTCTGTTGTATTTTTCAGATTCCACATACAAGTGGCATCATACAGTATTTACCTTTTTCTGACTTATTTCATTTAGCAGAATACCCTCTAAGGCCACCCATGTTCACATTACTGTTGACAAGAGTTCTTAATTTCAATGAAGTCCAATTTATAAACTTTTTTGTTATGGCAGTGCTTTTTTGTGTCTTGTTTAAGAAAGCTGTGCCTCGTCTTAATTTGACACAGATATTCTTCTTTATTATCTTCTAGAATCTCCACTTACTTGCCTTCTATATTTAGTTCCTTAACACATCTTGAGCTATTTTTATAGAAGATAAGAAGTAAGGGTGGTGGGGTACTTCTAGGTCCTGTCAGCTGTGACCACAAACCAGAAGACCCCCTTCTCCTGTCATCTCCTGGGAGAGATGGGGCTTCCCAAACACCCCTTTCCTTTGCCTGGAGCCTGCAGAAGCATCTCATTTCACCTCACCTCCTGCAGCCCAAGACAATTCAGATGTACATGACCCTACTGTTTGGATTTCTGGACACAGACCATACACAAAGTATTCTCATCCCATATTAAGCTTCCATAACTTCCCTTAAGTCCATTTTGACAACTCTCCATGGATCAAAATCCTTTTAAAATGCAAAATAATCAAGTAGGAATATGCACAGGGATGATGTAAGACAGCACCCGCTGTCAGATGTGCTGAGCACCCACTGTCTGCGTGTACTGGCTGGGGGTGAGTGACACTAGGGGACACAACCAGACATACCCCTCTTGTCACCACACTCACAGCCTGGGGAAGACTAAGAAAAAATGGGGGAAGAGAAAGTAAACAGAGGGAAGTGCTAAGAGAAGGACTCCCTTGCAACATTTGGGCCAAGACCTATATATGGAAAGGAGCTGGCCCTGAGAAGAGCAGGGGTTAGAGCATTCTAGACAGGAGAAATGGTGTACACAAAGATCGAGAAACAGCAGGGACTGGGATCCTGTGAGAAGGCATGACAGGGAGTGGCACAGTATGCAGCGAAAGGCGAGAAAACGTTTGGGGTTTTTTTTTCTAATCAGAATCAGAATTCATTGGAGGATTATGCTCTGTTATCTTCTTGAACACAGAAGTTCTCTAGAAGAGCATTCAGTTAGCTGGTCTACTCTGAGTTCCTTCTATCACACCACGGTTCAGACAGGCAAAGAACCACAGCCTCTCAGCCTTGACTGAGCTTGTGCACAAATGCATGCCTGCGAGCAGGTCCATGCGCATACACACATACATACACACACACATGCTCCCTTCATGCTACCTCAAGCTGAGGACTTAGTACCTCCACCAATCCTGGGCGAAATGGAGACTGCAGACTTTTGCATCTCAGCTGGTGATTTCTAAGCACTTATTACAGCTGTAACTTTACTTACATTCATGTGACTGTTTGATTAGCACTTGCTTCCTGAATGAGTGTCTTCTGATTCTAAAAGGGCAGAATCTGAGTCTGTCTTGACCATCAAGGCGTCCCCAGCACCTAGTACATGGCCTGGCCCAAGGCTGAAATGCTCAAAATCACATACACACAAGATGTTTTGAATGCAAGAGTTCAAACACATACAAAAGCAGAAAAAAATGTACCCATCATACAACCTCCATAGTCAAGTCACTCCTAACCTTTTTTCTTCTATTCCCCTCCCAGTGAACTAAACCCCAGCCGTCATGTCACTCAGCATGTACTTGTTGAATGAAGGTATAAGTGAATGTCTCTTACTGTAATGGACAAAAAACCAGGTGCTTAATTTTACTCTTACTGATTTTTCTGTTGATACTAGACAGACAGGAAAAAAGTTGAGGATGGGCCACCTGGATGAGTCAGGTTGCCAACTGATTAACTCCAATAAAATTTCAGGAGATGAGATTTAAACTATTGGCTAAGATGAATCTCCCTTCCTCCCCCATTCATTGGATTTTAACTTTTTGGTCCTGTTCTCATCATTGCCACATTCTTTAAGAAGTGGCTATAAGCAGGGGAAAATTACATATTTCCCACAATCTCTTTCAAATAAAATACTGAAAGAACAAGTTTCTTTCCATTAAACAAGACATGTGGCCTTTTACACACAGAAAAACAATGCCTTAGAAACAAATATTATATTATAGCTTGCTCCCTCCAGGGCAAACTATACTACACCTATTTGTTGGAATATTTAAAGTAATTTGTTCCAAATGAGCCTGGTC